TCGAGTCACACACAGTAATTCGTCGTTTAAACGACGAATTACTGTCTTTATGTATAAATCGAGTCACACACAGTAATTCGTCGTTTAAAAGATCAATCGTATGACACAATAAACATTAGTGACACATCAGGATGAATTACAGGAGTTTTTAATATAACACTTTCAACAGTCATATATATATATACACCCATACACGTAGGTTGCACGAAGGTAATTAGCGCGTAGACAAATGAATAAAAGGCTTAATATCTTATGAGCAAAAACACTTGAAAAACGTAAACAAAAAACACAGAATTTTTATAATTATATACAACCCAGGTTTACATATAATGTTTTTTTTGGAATTATATACCACAGTTTTAGAAATCCTGGAACATTTGTTATATCAAAATTATTTCAAAACTTAAGTCGGAAATTTGAGTTTTTTTTGTTTTTATAACAGAATTAAAAAGCGTATATTTAAATTTTACCCCAGCTGGCAAACCAGTTGAATCGTTTTATCCTTTCATTGCGTGTTATTTTGCTCACTTTTCGATAAATTCGCTGTTTTTTAATGTTTTGATATGGATGTACGTGTACTTTTAGAAACCATAAGTGTCACTTATCTCCTAAGATATGATATAATATAAAAGCGACACTCGTTAGACCACTTTTAGTCGGTAAGTCATGCATGAGTTTCATTTCTCATTTCTTCATTGACATATAAACTTCGATATGTTTACACTTTCTCTAACTTGACTTTTAGGCCCGAAATAATGACTCACTGTAAATAGATAAATGTTCTAAAATAGATCTGGCAGCTGAAGAGTAAAGAAACGAAAAGATATGATAAAAAATTAAGGTAAAAATAAAAAGTACGAGTCATTAAACTACTTATTTTCACATTATATCTTGGCTCCCACTGTATCGGAATAAGCCCAAACTGCCACCAATTTCTGACAAGCTTGATTTATTACCAACGTTGGTCTCTTCACGTTTTGATTCAGACACCTATGATAGAATAACCTTGTAATAAAGGTAAACTAACAATTAAGCCTAAAATTTCTGATGAAAAACACGTTAACTGCGGATGTTTTTTTTTTTTCACATTTCCCTTAATTTGTCCATTGATTCAAAATCAGGGGTGTGTAAAAATGACACTTCAGATCTATCATTTTTCTCTCTCACAAGTCACTGCCCAAGAGGCATTTTGTTGAATACCAGAACTCGTCAGTAGGGCTGGACGACGAGAGAGAAAGATTATGTAAAACGTTATTTATATATGCAGTAATATACTTTAAAAGTTTCGGTTAAAATGCCTAAAGTTAAACCACCTAAATCCTAACTTTTAATAGTTAAATCATATAAAAAAAATTGACACTTCAGGTACAAACTTACAACTACGCGTCCACTCATTACAACATGAGGACATTTAACCTAGTTAGACGATTTAAACAGACTAAAAACTATTAAAACCAACCCACCTAGCATCATCATGCATACAAGGTTAACTCAGAAAAAGGTGCATATTTTTTCTAAGTACTGTATTTAGCCTTTATCAATTTAAATATACAGGATATCTCTTTAGTATTAAAACGGACATCACATGGATAGGGTGGCAAATTTGTTCTCTATACATCACAACAAAAAAATTTCATTCACAAATTACACATTTATATATAAAGGGTAGGCTTAGCGACCCACCCCGTCCGCAGTAAATATACAACGAATACAGTTTTTTTAATATCTCACGAAACTTATTCCTATCATACATAACGGTAATTGAACGTTTGTCACGAGAATGATTCAGTGAGGAACCAACTACAGCTTGATCATCAAGAAAGTTTGTTTGTTTGTTTGTTTTGAATTTCGCGCAAAGCTACACGAGAGCTATCTG